AAAGAGTATTAACAATATTCTTATTATAGATTAATATATTAGCTAGCATGTTTCAATAATCAGTATATAATACACTACGCGGTAAAGATAGAAGGCTTAAGATTTTCAAGAAAATATTTAAAATAGTTAGAACCTAATTAGCCAGAATAATAGTTAGCAGCTACTAAATCAGGACCATATCTAAAGATCTAAGCAATTATATTAGATTAACTAGCTTAAATATTGATAAACTCTGAAGTAACCAGAAACTTCATAAACCTGCAATTTATATAATAATTTAAGATACTCAGACAATAGAAAGCAGAACTTAAACTAATTATAGAACTAAATAAAAAGAATCTGGGAACTCTCGCATTAACAGTTAAGTCAGGAACTATATTTATAACTATAAAGAATTACTATAAGTATATAGATTTTAATATAATATTTTTAAGACAGTATAATATTATATTAAGAATTCTATGGCTTAGGAATCATAATCTATAGATTAATTAGAAAACTAAAAGTCTTTAATTCATAAATTATAATTGCTTAAGACGATACTAGCAAGAACCAGATATAGAATCTGGATTTGTATAGCCTGTTATACAGTAAGAAGCTGAAGTAAGGACTAAGTAACTTATAGAGAGGTTAAGAATACTATAAAAGTCTAACACGCCAGGTATTAGAGATAACTTAGAGAAAAATAATATCTCAAGTATAGTTATACAAGTAATAATAGTAATTAAGCTATTATAATAAGATTAGCTCATAAAAGTATCAGAATAGGTACTGATAATAATAAAAGAGTATTGAAAATATAATATTAACAGTATTAACACAGAGATCAAGACAGTTATCCAGGAACTAAAAGATTCATGAGAACTTCTAACTGTGGTCAAGAATAATGCACAGATCCCGCCATAGTATAAGAGATTTAAGGACTTATTCAAGTAGTTAAAACAATCTAAATTATCTCAGCACAGAAAGCATGACCATACTATTCTTATTAAGAAAGAAAAGTCACTGATATATAAAAAGATTTATCTAATATTTGAGAAGAAATTGTAGATATTATAAAAATATATTAATAACTAACTAGTAAAAGATAATATCAGACCTTCAAAATCATTAATAGAATATAGAGTCTTATTTATACTGAAAAAGAATAATAATTTATAACTATATATAGATTATCAGTCACTAAATATTATCACAATTAAGAATTAATATCTGTTATCTTTGATTTTAGAAATCTAAGATAAGATATAAGAAATAAAGTAATTTATTAAGCTTAATATTATAAATATATATTATCAGATACATATCATAAAAGATAAAGAATAAAAATCTATATTCAGAATAAAATATAGATATTTTAAATACTTGATTATATTATTTAAGCTTACTAACGCACCAGCATCATTTTAGTAATATATTAATAAGGTTTTAAAAAAAACATCTTGATAGATTTATAATTACTTATCTAGATAATATATTAATCTTTTTAAAGATTAAGAAAGAATATGTAAAACATGTGAGACTAGTTCTATATAAACTATATCTATATTAATTATAATATAAGTTAAAAAAGTATGAATTCTATATACAGAAAACAGAGTTCCTGGAATATTAGATATCCACAGAAAAAATCCATACTAAGTAAGCTAAAATACAAGTTATATAAGATTAACCTTAATCTAAAAATCTAAAAGTACTACAGTAGTTTATTAGATTAATTAACTACTATTAATAATTTATAGACAGATATATTATCTATATAACACTATTCTTCAAGCTTATAAAAAAGTTAAAAAAGTATCAGTAAAAAGAACCACAGCAGAACGCGTTTAAAGATATCAAGCAATAACTTACCATATTACTAGTACTCGTACAGCATAACCCGGGAAAAGAAACCACTATTAAGACTGATATATCAAACTATGCTGTTAAAATATATATAACGCAATCAAAAGAAGATAGAAAGCTGAGACTGATTATATTTTATTCAAAAAAGTTAGTTTAAGTAGAACTTAACTACAACATTCATGACAAGAAATTATTAATTATAATAATAATATTTAAGCAGTAGAGAGTCTATCTTAAAAAAGCAAAGTATATTATTATTATAAAGATAGACTATAAGAATTTAACCTACTTCACAATAACCAAAGAGTTGACCTGAAGACAGGCATGATAAGTTAAGATTCTGTTATAATATAATTTCAGAATTATATACTGTAAAGAAACAGAAAATAAGTATGCAGATATGCTGAGCCGCAGGTCAGACTATAAACTAGATAAAAAGACTATTAAACCGGCCATCCTAAAGCAAAATATGGATAGATCGATCAGCTATAACAAGACCAATCTTATAATAATATTAGAAATAAGTAATAATCTAATCAGATAATTAGCTAATATTATAAAAGAAGATAAGATACTTTAGAAAATGAGTAAAGACTCACCGGACAAGATCACTATTAATAAGAATAAACTAGTCTATTTTTATGGATTAATCTTTGTACTAACTATAATAAGAAGAAAGATTATGGCTAGATATTATAACAAATCACTCAAGGATTACTTAAGAATAGAAAAGACTACTGAACTAATTACAAGAAATTACTACATTCTGAATCTTAGATAGAAAGTATATGATTATATTAGATAATGTAAGACTTATATTAAAAATAAGTCTGCAAGATACTAATTCTATAAATAAATATAAGTACAGGAGGCGCCACAGCAGCTATAAAAATAGATAATAATTAACTTTATTAGTCTACTACCTGAATTAGAGGGATATGATGCTATCACGGTCATTACTAATTATCTTATTAAATATATCTATCTTATATTAAGTAAGATAATAATAATAGTAATACAGATGGCAGAACTGTTTCTAAAAAATATTATTATATATTATGGAATGCCAAAGTACATCATATTAAACTAAGATAAGTTATTTATCTTAAAGTTCTAGAGATTACTTACAGATCTTATTAAAATTAAAGAATAAATAATAACAGCTTACCACCTGCAGACAAATAAACAAATAGAAAGAATTAACTAAATAATTAAGCAATATCTAAGATATTATATAAACTATTAGCAGAATAATTAAGTAAATCTATTACTGATAGCACAGTTCTTATATAATAATATTAATTATTTGATTATTAGAGTCACTATTCTATACTAATTATGGTTACCATCCCAGGTTTCTGAAAACATTATTAGAGAAGTAATTAGTTACTGATATAGCTAAGAATATTGTTATATTTACAGAAAATATATATATACAGTTATCCTGAGATATTGAGTTTATAAACTTGTGTAGTAAGATATACTATAATTACAGATATAAAAAGAAACCTGACTTAAAAAGAAGGGAGAAAGTATTCCTACTCTGCAGAAATATTAAGATAAAATAACTAAGTCAGAAGCTTGACCATCACAAGCTAGGATTATTTGTTATTAAGAATAAGAAAAGACCAGTTAACTACAGGTTGAGATTGCCAAAATTAATGAACAAAATTCATTCAGTATTTTATATCTTATTATTAGAACCTGTACCAAAGAATACTAGAATTGCAGAAAATATGGAGATTAATGATGACACAGAGAAAGAATATGAAGTTAAAAAGATCCTAGATCATAAGAAAATTAGTGATAGATTATAATATCTGATAAAATAAGCAGGATATGATATCTTAGACAACATGTGAAAATCTATCAAGAATTTAACAGGCTGTCATCGGCTTATGAAGCAGTACTATTAACAGACAAGTCAAAATTCGCCTAGAAAGAAGGAGAGCCAACCAGTTAAGACAAACTAAGATCGGGCTTGGACACGGCGGCTAGTTCAACACTACTACTTGTAACAGTACTAGCCTCAGCCTTGGATATTACAGTCTTTTAAGCATATAATCTTTCTTGTACTTCACGTTTCTTTTGTTCTCGCTTCTCAAGCTCTTCCAGCTCCTCAATCTCCTTTATATCACGAGCTATGAAATCGCCAGCTCGTCTTTATAATAACTGCTTTTATTTTTACAATCAAAGAAGTTTTGCCAGGATGACTTTCTCTTCTTCTTCAATAGAATTTTAGGCCTTAACCAAATACTTCCACTCGGCGTCAGAGAAGGAAGGATCAGGCATTTTACAATGAACACTATTTACCTTCATATACTTATTACAGTGATCAGAACTCTCGGATTTGATATATATCTTATATAGATGGATACAGCGCTCGCAAGGAAAGATTGCAAGAAAACCCTTGTCTTTGATCTGTCAGCAAAGACTCTTCTTACGCACGGAGGAACTAGATGATATAATTAATAATTAGACGAAAGTTTGGAAACAGCACTGGACACTCACCTCACAGGGGGACGCCGCTGATTTATGTTCCTTGAGGATAAGAAACCTTGAAAAGGGGGAGTGGTGTTACGGACCTCTGCTAGCTGAATAACTAGTGAGGCGGACATGTCAGGCAGAAGGCTACACCCAGACAGATGAGGACTCTTATCGAGTAAAATCCTAATCTGAGTAACCGACAACCGGAGCCGTTACACGGCACGTGACCATGATGGATATATCACTGATAAGCTATAATATATTAGTATTATAACAGGATATAGTAGCACTATAAAATAATATATCAAGTAATATGACATGACATAGCGATACTATAATAAAGAATAGAATAAAAGGACACTCTTTCATGTACCTAGCTAGTTCTGTTCTTCGTGCTCAATTTATATTATCTTTAAGTAACCATATATTTTGATAAAGCTTAATAATAATACTCGTCCGCACTTACTTACGGATAGCTGTGCGGCACTATCTGGCCTTACTTCTCTTCTCTTGTTTAGGACCAGTCATCTTTAGATAGTCATCAGTCTGACTTACCTCGATTCAGTTCGAAGGTACGTATCGGAACGGGAGCTAAGCTAACAGGAACAGGGAGAAGCGATCCTAGGGTTTGACATTATGTTTCAGTGATCATAAAAATCTCTGTTTCTTATATAGCCCTATTTACAGGTCCTTATAAAATAATTAAGAATATTAGTAAATATGAAGATATCTTATTAATTATTAGTAAATTTAGGATTGCCACGGTAATCCCATATCTGAAAAATATAATCTATAATTATAATACTTGTACTTTATAAATACACCAGCTGTACTTAATAAAGCAAGTAAAATTGATTAGTGAGTATACTATACAGTTATTTCTGTAAATATTCAGCTAATAAGCTAGATATGATAAATAAAATCCAAGGCCTGCTTAATAATCTTCTTGATAATGATATTATAAATAATGATTATATATGTAACAGGTCTTAAAATAAAGATATTTTGTTTACAGCTAACCTGATACAGTTGTAAATTCTTAATATATCTATATATATAAAAAATGATCTTGCATATAACAAAGTCCCGATTCGAAAGTATAAAAGATTTTATCTTTACTAGAATATATCTAATTATAAAAGTATTACTTTATTCAAGATGTCTGGAGATTAGATTGAAAGGCTGCTGAATATCTGGAAAGAAAGAGACTAGATACTGATTATGAATAAGCAGTCTAATTAACTTCATTCACAGTATAGATTAATAAGGGAGGTCAGTCTTTGTAGAAGACGATATTCGAGACCATATATGAGAGATTGTACAAGAAGTCTTTCTCAGGGTGTACAGCTTTCAGAACTGGAATACCAGCCTAACAATGGTTAATTAGGGCGGATGGGGGTGGTTTGAAGCGTTTCGTAAAATATGACGCGTATACAAAAGATAAAATACCGGAGGTGATGGGGCAATGGGGTGGCGACGTATTCTGGACTAGCTGTATTTAGGCGGTGAGAAATGTAACTTTGCCCTGGAGCCCTGCTGAGACACAAATTTTCCCTTTCTTCTTCTCTGCCCCATTTTCTTCTCTTTTCCTGTTGTCTGTGGCACGCGCGACATGTTCGTGGAAAGGTGCCGGGGAGAGGAGCACTAAGGTGAGTAGGGCAGTTTCATTGTCAGCCACGATGTCAGTGTTTAGACCGTGGCTCTTCGATGTGCTCATGGGAGCTCACGTTCTGCTCACTCTTTGCTGACTCTAAGTGTCTGATTAACTGCCCCGAACATGAAAAGACCAGCTTTCTTTACTTTCCATTATACTTTATTTATCTAATTTCACTGGTATGTCCATTGTTACCTGCTAAACAGTATCCTTTTATTCAGTAAATTTATACCACTTCTGGCTGCTACATCCACTTTCTTGATTATTCTTATTAACTAACCTCACAGGCTAGTCCTACAAACATATATATTTTAATAATCAGTATTCAGATAAATAAGAACCTATTTAAACCATTCTTACTAACTCATCTCTCAAAAGAACATTCAGGATGGTAATCCAGATTGGACCGAAAATACATATTCTGATATAAGTAGTCTCCTAAAGATCTCTGTATAATACTCATTTTAAAGCAGTTAGTCAATCTTAGTAAATTGTTGGAGCAGATCGGACGACTTCATGATTTATAGAAATCAGATATTTTAATACAGGCTTAACAAGGTAGATTTATCTAATACCACATTCTAAATATTAAATAGAAGACTATTTCCTCTACATACCGGACTAGTTGCATGAATATATTAAATATCACGATCAGTCTTAATATAGATTTACTCTTTTAAGAGACCTGCAGTAACTAATACTCATACTGTAGGAACAAGGTCCTGGAGTGATGTCTCTTACTCTAAAAGAAAAGCAGTCTAGAAAGATAGGTCCGCTGAAAATCATACTAGGGGCTTGTTCTTACCCTTATAGCTTGTTCGAGATCGTGGGTCCAACCTGAAGCAGCTTGGGCAGCTAAAGAGTTTCTAGGTAGCCAGTGTTGGGTATAGACTTGAAAAGGCTGGCTTTATGGATTATTTTGAATTGAAAGAGGCCAGTCAAGAGTTATCAGTGTCTCTAGGTAAGAGCGTGTCCATCTCACCCTTCTTACTGTTACTTCCTATCATACTAACTATTTCTTCTTCTGAAGTAAATTATATTATTACCACTACACAACTTATTTTATCCTCTCTGTTGGCTCTGTGCCTACTAATAAGCAATCCCAAGTCATTAATCTCTGTAAATAATATTCTAGCTAACATTGTTAATTTATGGATGAATAATACACACGATAACAGTCATTTTTTAAGCAGTAAAGCAGAGCAACTGTGGGATGTGGGAATAATATCTGAAAGTGCTCTTTATATCTTGCTAGGTATAACTCTTCTTACCTTCTGTCCAGGCTTTGGAATCTTGTCACCCACATAGACCATTTCCACACCTGGAATAAATGGGACAACTCCCTGCTACTCAACACTCTCTACTATAGGTTCTGGCTCCTCACCTAGGGAGAGACTTGCAGATGTTAGGCCCACAATACAGATACAACCCAATGCAAGGAATACACCTATAGAACCTAATCCAATAATCCTTTTCCTACTGCAATCCTGCGGGGAAGAAATATTATTTAAAGTACATATTCAGGTTATTCTTGAAGTAGAAGTGTCTTTTTTCTCACAGGCATCCCGCGAGCTGCTACAGTCTCTTTTAAATAGGTGGGACAATAATATATTACTCGGCCTGCACGCCCTTAGACTTCCCATTATTTGGAAAGATATATAAGGAATGGTTAATTATCTTAAAGTTCTTAATGTGGATGAAAAAAAATACTTTTTTTGATCCTGTTGCAAAGTATATTATATTGGTCTTGCTATACCTCAACTACAAAGAGCTCTATATGCACCATGACAGATACTAGCCTACTCTTTAAAAAAAGTATCCTAGTTTCTACATTATTATCTGTACCCTAAAAGCATATCATAATGATTCTTACAAATCAAAATCAGAGAAATCTTATCATGATCAGATTTTAGCCAGTTATATAAAATATGGTAGATTGTGGTGGATACTTGCAGGGACATTGGGAGTTAGTATCCTGTTAGTTGGGGGTGAGTTAATGAAATCCATGTAAGTTTACTGACTCATACAGTAGCTAGTTTACTCACGTTTCCAGCAAAAATGATTCGTTCAATAAGGATGAAATCAATGCCCTTATTACTTTAGTCTTGAACACTTATCCAGGCACTATTCACACCTTCTATGAGTTGAAGCCTGTGGTCAAATCTCTAATGTTTAGACAGATCACAGAAGATCTCTGTCAGGCCATTTTGAATAATAAGATTAGCATCTTCGGGAGATAGAAGATAGCATATATCCAAGCTGAGAATGCAGCAGCAATAGCGCGCTAGCGGACTAAGATTTCTTGGACAAATGTCGATGCCAAACATATTGTGATGGAGAATATGGCCATATTCCTTATTAACGTGCTGTAAGCTATAGTTCTATGTTTTTTTTTCTTATCACCTACTCGAAGAGCGAAATCTGGGATTTGGGGTAGTGTCAAGGGGGTCTGCTCTTCAGCCTGATTTATAGTCCTTTGTATAATTATACTTTGTATGATATTATCTGTTTTATTTGTGAGTTTTAACTATTGTCATGGATTTGATATCATTTACTAGCCCGGGCGGCTTGCCTTGTTTAATTGTAGCACTGTAGCATAATGGATGAATGATCTACCTAGGGTATTTTTGTTGGTAACATGCTATTATAATCCAGAAAGGTATTGAATGTAATATATATTGAACTGAAAGTAAGGGTCGATTAGTGTGCCGTAACTAACTCAGAAAGAGCATCTGTATGGTTCTACATGAAAAGCATCAATAATCTTTAGTGTATAGCCCTCCTCTAGCCACAATTGTACTCTATATGTCTGTATATGACTGAGGTGCATACGAATAGAATGTACGTGCAGATATTAGAGTAAACCAAATAATCTCAATAAGGTCACTACGAGAACAACAGACTTCCGTCTGGAGACGTTATTAAAAATCAATAAACAGCTTTCAAATATAATAAAGATACAACTAACCTTTTTCAAAACTCCTAATAAGCTAGCTGATATCATTACTGAGAGAAATTTAATAGCAGCTGGGCAGTTATACCAATAATCAAGATTATTAATCCTAACTGCTTTATCATTCTTAATATATATCTGTATAAGCTGTATTATTACTCATATAACAGAGGCCAAATCATCTGCTTAACCCTTATCTGATAACCAGACAGCCTATAACTTAATCCATGTTAGAAATTCCGGTCAGGATTACTTTCATGCAGGGCTAAAGTAGTGGAATTACCAATTTGGATCTCCTCTTTAAAACTCATAAGTATGCTGGAACAATCCAGGAATATATGCTGGAGATTCTGAGAAATAAAATATAATAAATCATTAATAAACTGGAAACAGTTAGCAATAGATATATTAATATAAAACTTGAATAATCTGAAACATAATAACTGCTAGTTACAGCTAGTCTGAAAAGACCTTATAGATAATAACATGATCTAGTATAAGTAGATAGAACTTGCTAAAAGTATATAGAATATTAGAGATATAGAAGTATTCTAAAATAAAGTCTACATTCTTATAGCGCGTGGACTAGAGAATATTCAAAATTTTATTAATATTCTTTTAGAAATATTGATAAATTATTTAGACTATACAGCAACCAGAACATCACACATATATAATAATAATACTAGTTAAATTATATTCATAATACTTTTTAAAAGTATTCTAGAGAAACTTTTTCTGTATAACAAAATCAGAATTTATACTGTTTCCCAACCCAGTGGCCTCTGGAAGAGCCAAACTATGTGGTAAACTTTAAATAATCTTATAACCTAGGCCTGCAGGTGAGGAAGTAGCAGGCCTTTTGATCAGACATGTGTTACAGACCCCTGCTAGCTGAACAAACTAGTAAGGCGGATACGTTAGGCAGAAGGCCACGTCCGGAAGGCAAGGACTCTTATCGAGTAAAATCCCGATCAGAGCAACCTACAAACCGGGACGGTTACACAACACGTGACCACGACGGACATGTCACCGACACGCTATAACATGGCAGCGCTACGACAGGACATGACAGCGCTACGACAGGACATGGCAGCGCTACGACATAATATATCGGCGACATGACATATCATGGCGACGCCATGACGAAGGATAGAATATAAGGACACTCTTTCATGTACTTAGCTAGTTCTGTTCTTCGTGCTCAATCCAATTGTCTTTAAGTAATCATACATTTAGTAAAGCTTAGCGACAACACTCGTCTGTACTTACTTACGGATAGCTGCGCGGCACTATCTGGCCTTACTTCTCTTCTTCTGTTCAGATCAAGTCATCTTTAGATAATCAACAACCTGACTATCTTTGATTCAGTTCACAAGATACGTATCGGAACGGGAGCTAAGCTAACAGGAACAGGGAGAAGCGATCCTAGGGTTTGATACATTGAGCACCAGTCAGTACAAGTATTACCCAGTAATAACTAGTCATTATATTAACTACATCGAACACATCGCGAGCGCCTCAGCAGCAGGGCCTGATAACCAAGGAACTGATAAACATGGTTGGTCAGCTATAAGAAAGCATCACGGCCTTAGAACAAAAGAACCAGCTACTTAAAGATCGCTTATCAGTCAAATCTGTTAAGGTCTGACCACCTGAGCCATTTAACAGCAAACAAGCAAAGCTCAGGGCTTTCTTAACCCAGTTAGACTTGTACCTCAACATGAACAAGGAAAAGCTCAAGAATAAAGAGAACAAGATCTTTTTCGCGTTTACTTACCTTACTGAAGTAGTATTTAATTAGTTTGAACCGTATATCCGCGAGTGACAAGAGAAGTTAGTAAGTAACCAGAATAATAATATAAAACAACTTTTTACTAGTTATACTAGATTTAAACAGTGTCTTGAATAAATATTCAGAGACATTAATACAGTACAGAACACTGAATAAAAGTTATAATGATTTAAGCAGATAGGATTAGTATCCGTGTATGCTTCGGAATTTTAGTAAGTTATTAATTATCTAGACTGGGATGATAATACTTATATCTTATAATTTAAAAAAGGACTTAAGATGGAGATCCAAGAGAAGATTATTTAGTAAAAATAACTAGATACCTTAGCTAAGATGATTAAAGCAGCAGTGAAGATTGATAACAAGCTGTATAACTTTAACATGAAATAATAAGAGGATTGGTAGACCAGCGGGTCTATACTTTGATATAATAACCAGCCAGATTACCGAGCCAATAACGAAAGATTGATATAACCTAGAAGCTTGGGATATGAAGATCCCTACAAGCTGAAGCCCATGGAGCTGAATGCTGCTCAGCATCAGACTTAAGAGACTCAAGTATCCAAAAAGGAACTTGAATAGTGTAAATGAGACCGCTTGTGCTTCAGCTACGGCAAAGCAGATCATTAGTTAAAAGACTGTAATTAGAAACAGCAACAGCCTTAGAAGCAATTGAGGGCTACATACCAAGATTAAGGCAGAGGAGTCTATAATATCACTGCTATTCAGCACGAGGTTTGGACAGAATCTGCGACGCAGATATTAGATAATAAGAAGTTATATATTATTCAGCATGGTCGGCTGTTAGAGAACAGGACATACTGTGATTGATTGAGATAACAAACCATCCTGGATGAGTTAATAGTACTATCTAGTTAATAAGAGGATTGATGATTATCTGTATTATTAGTTTGGACTATAGAAATTAATAATAATAGTTATAAGCCAGTTTCAAGGAACAACTATCCTAGTATAGTTTAAGATAAGAATAAACTATCAGATAAAGAATACAGTATATTATTTAAAGATCTTAAACCTAGCAAGAAGAGACTTAACAAGATACCTAATATCTCTAAAAAACCTTTATCAGAACTTAGTAAACTCTGTCCATCGCAGCGAGACGAGAATAAAGAGAATTAGAAGAATAATCAAGAGGATGTTACTTACTAGTTAGACCATATTTTGAAGAAGATCTTGAAGAATCCAGTATAATTCTGTTCAGAGCTTAAGATGATTATACAGTATTACCTATATTGGGATTTAAAATGTTAAAAATCATGGAATAAGACTTAGAAATAATATTTACAGAGATACTCTTATCACCCGGAAGTTTGTTTAATATATGGATAAGACAATACAGATTATTATTACCAGCTATTAAAGATTAGCTAAAAGATAAATATTGCAGAAACAGAGCCTTGGTATAATAAATCATGTTTATATATTTATTTTAAAGAAAGCAGAGATTATTGAAGATATAATAAACTTCTTTAGCTTGTATACTACATAAATATATGCTTAATATATCATGATTAGAAGTATATTGTTAACTACTGACCTAGGATACCGGAAGTGGTTAGGACTAAGATAAGTCACTATCTATATAATATCTTTGAATGCACGTGCAAAGAATACTAGAGACACTCTCATTATAGATTAATATATTAATTAGCATGTTTCAATAATTAATGTATAATATACTACACGGTAAAGATAAAAGGCTTAAGATTTTTAAAAAGATATTTACAGTAGTTAGAACCTAACTGGCCAGAATAATAGTTAGTAGTTACTAAATCAGGACCATACTTAAAGATTTAAGCAGTTGTATTAGATTAACCAGCCTAAGTACTGGTAGATTCTGGAGTGACTGGGAACTTCATGCACTCTGGATTTATATAATAGCTTGAGATACTTAGATAATAGAAAGAAAAATCTGAACTGATCGCAGGACTAAACAGAGAGAATTTAAGAACTTTTATATTAATAGTTAAATCAGGATTAGTATCTATAACTGTAAAAGGCTACTATGAGTGTATAGACTTCAACATAATATCTTTAAGATAGTATGATATTATGTTAAGGATTTTATAACTCAGGAATCATAATCTACAGATTGATTAGAAGACTAAGAGTCTTTAATTCACTAATTATAATTGTCCAAGACGACATCAGTAAGGACTAGGTATGAGGTCTAGATCCATATAGCCCGCTACTCAGCATAGAGCTGAAGCAAGGATTAAGCAACTTAACAAGGGAAGATTAAAATTGCTACAAAAGCCTAACATACCAGGCATCGGAGGTAATTTAAAGGAAAATAACATCTTAAATATAGTTATATAAATAATAATAATAATCAAGTCATTACAGAGAGATTAGCTTATAGAATTATTAAGATAAATATTAATAATAATAAAAGAGTACTGTAAGTACAGTATTAACAGTTCTAATATAAAGATTAAGATAACTATCCAGAGATTAGAAGATTTATGGGAATTTCTAGCTATAATCAAGAATAATATACAGATTTTATTACAGTATGAGAGATTCAAGAACTTGTTTAAGCAGCCAGAGCAATCTGAATTATCTTAATATAAAAAGTATAACTATATTATTTTTATAGAGAAAAGAAAATTACTAATATATAAAAAGATTTATCTAATATCTAAAAAAAAATCACAGGCACTACAAGAATATATTGATAACTAGCTAGCTAAAGATAATATTAAGCCTTTAAAGTCACTAGCAGGACATGGAGTCCTATTTATATTAAAAAAGAACAACAGTTTACAGCTATGCATGGATTATCAGCCACTGAATACTATTATAATCAAGGATTAGCACCTATTATCTTTGATTTTAGAAATCCAAGACAAGATATAAAGAATAAAGTAGTTTATCAAACTTAATATTACAAATGTATATTATTATATACGCATCATGGAAGGTAAAGAATGGAAGACCGTGTTTAAAATAAAGTATAGATATTTTAAGTACTTGATTATACTATTTAGGTTTATTAACACATTAATATTATTTTAGCAATACATTAATAAAGTTCTTGGAGAATATCTTGATAGGTTTATAATTACTTATTTAAATAATATATTAATCTTTTTAAAGACTGAGAAAGAATATATAAGATATATAAGACTAGTTCTATATAAACTATATCTATATTAGTTATAATATAAGCTGAAGAAGTATGAATTCTATATACAGGAGATGGAGTTTCTGGAATATTAGATATTTATAGAAAAAATCTATACTAAACAAGCTAAGATATAAGCTATACAGAATTAGTCTTAATCTAGAAATCTGAAAGAACTACAGCAGTTTATCAGATTAATTAACTACTATTAAT